GTTAAGTGAGCCATGTGGTTTTGAATCACAAGTGTCTTCAGAGCTAAGATGTCACTATGGAAAAATAAAGGCATGGAAATGTGATGGTTGGAAACACAGGGTCTTTCCACTCTGTCCCAGTTGTCAGCAGGTGTTGGAAATAACCCACCCTTTGGGCCCGATGCAGCTGGACGGTTTTGTCTCTGACCTATGGCCAGATCTCCAGAATAACTGTAGAAACTTGGCCTCCCCTGTCAAGCCATGGCAGAAGATTTAATAGCACTCACAGATTTATGCTGGCCGCTGTAATCAAATTCAGAGCCAAGGCGCAGCCAGCCTTGGGAAGGTTTCTTGATGTTCCTTGGCTCCTAATAACATTGTCTCCTCCTTCCTCTCTATTTACCATATACCATTTGGTCAAATTAGAACTTGAAGTCAAGAAAGCAGATGCCTTCCTCTAGATAAGGTCCAAAAAAATTCCCTTGTGGGAGGAAAGAGGAATGGACCTGTCTCCTTGAATCTGTGCACAGAGGAGTCACTTTGATATATGATTTACCAAAATAATGACCAATAAGGGATGATTTTCTTTCATCCTGCAGCTGGGGCAGAATTTTTCTCCTCAAAGCATTTCTACAAGGGGCAGAGGAGAATGTCTTTCTCGTGTTTTTTTGTGGAGATGCAATTACCTGCTCATGGTCTCCCTAATGAGTGTCTCCAGGCTCCTCCAGGCACCTCCAGATATTTGCCAACAAAGGAGTTGGACCAACCCATCCCCAATCCTAACCCTTGTGAAGGGATCATCTGATTTTTTGTTGCCTACTTAAAATTATTTTATTCTTTTTATTATGAAAATTTTTAAACATTCAAAAAAAGTGGAAAGAATTGTCCATGGAACACCACTGTTAAGGACTGAATTGTGTACCTCCCCAAATCCATAATTTGAAGCCTTAACCCCAATACTTCAATGTGGCTGTATTTGGAGATGAGGCCTTTAAAAAGGTGATAAGGTTAAATGAGGACATAAGGATGGACCCTAATCCAATATGACTAGTGTCCTTAGAAGAAGAGGAAATTTGGACAGTGACACCAGGGATATGCAAAGGGAAGACCATATGAGGACACAGTTAGAAGGCAGCCATCTGCAAGCCAAGGAGAGAAAGAGGCCTCAGAAAAAAAGCACAAAAACCTTCCAACACCTTAATTTGCACTTCCAGCTTTCAGAAGTGTTAAAAATAAAATTCTGTTGTTTAACATGCCCCCATCCCCCCGGTACAGTATGCCCACTGCATGGATTCTGTAGTCATTACCATTTTGCTATATTTATTCTATCATATATTTGTTTATCCATCCTATTTTTGATGGATTTCAAAATGAGTTGCAGATTCTTTACCCACTTTGAAGACTGAACTATTCAATGGAGAGGGTAAATGCACATTTGATTGAAGGCCAGTAGCACATGTGACTGATCCCTCTTTGTGGCTGGGATACTGAGGGAGGCAACTACAACCCTACAATGTGAGTTTACAAACCAGGAGACGGGGACCCAAAGATGAGTCACTGTAAGGCTTGATTAGGAAGACATGGAACTGGGTGGGTGTTGGTAAACTCCTGCAACTTCAGCTGGTGGAGGCGGAGCCTGCCATTTGTGCTGAGGTTCTCTATGCATTCTCTTTGGCTGGTGGGAGAGAGGTCACTACTTGATGCTGATAACCAAATCTTTAGAAGTCTCCAGGGTTAGACATCTGGATTTAATCCTGGCTTAATACCTACTGGCTGTGTGTGTGTTCTAAGTCTCTGAGCCTTGTCTGAAAATGAAGATGATAGTGCTAATACATACTTGTGGGGTTGTTGTGGAGATCAGAAGGACAGTGAATGCTTACAGAGTGCTTCCCATGGTTGGCACCTCACTACTGGGGTAGGAGAATGCTGTCTGCTGGGATACACAAGCACCCACATTTTAGTGACTTGATCTAATAAAAATTTCTGCTCACTTAGCTGTCCAGTGTCCCTGTTATGGGGCTCTCCTCATGGGGATTCTCTCTCCACTGACCTAACAGGATTCTTGCTAAAACTGGACTCTGCAAGGACAGGCACGGAAGCCCAGTTCAAAGCTTTGTTGAGAGCCTGGCCAACATTTGGTCAAGGAGAGAGTCTTTGTCAGTGGGAAGGTAAAACTCATGTGCTCCACCTTACTCCTCTGCCCATCTAGGTTTGGGTGGGATAGTCAACTTGAGGTGCCCTAGGGCTGGTGGGAGCCAAGGCTCTATCCCCAAAATTCAGATGGCTTTGCCTGGGAACTCCAGGCCCTTGGGAAGGGTGCTGAGCTCTCCATGCCACACAATCTCCCCTCACAGCCAGGGTAGGAGACACAGCAGGGGAAGATGCAAGGCAGGCTTCACTTTGGAGGGGACCAGCAGGAAACAGGCCTGCATGTGCCAACAGTGGGGACAGAAGTTTCTGGAACAGTGCCCAGGGAGGCGGAATTCCAGAAGTGGTCTTCTGACCTGGTTGATAAATACCAGAGCAGCAATTAAGACAAAATACTATGAATATGACACCTGCTGACAGCTGCAGGAAGATCCGGAAACTTTTATTATGAATTATATTTGCAGGCAGCCCTGCTGTGGTGAACTGGTGCTTGGGCCAAGGAACCTGAAGGAACTCAGCAGGCCAGCTGCCTCGAGGGCAAGGGTTGCCCTCCAGGGGAGAGTGGGGGAGAGTGTGATCATCTGAAGGACCACTGTATCTCAGTCCTTGATAGAAGCCATAACTGGAAAGGGCTTAGAGCTCATCTTGTCCAATGCCACCAAGGCCCTGTGCAGAAGTGAGTTGTTCAAGGTCACACAACAAGTTTCTGACCATACCAGGGCTGGAGACCAGGATTCCTTATCCCAAGCTGACTGTAGGGCAGTTAACAGTGGTCAAGCATTCGACTTAAGGAAATTCAACTGTTAGTGCTCTGAGAGACAGTCAGAGAATGAGACAAAGTTAGAGATAGGGAGACACAGAGTGTGAGAGGAGACAGGAAAGTTGTAGAAAAGAGAAACAGAAAGAGACATTCGTGAGCCTGAGTCATTAGGTTCAAACTAAAGGTTTGAGTACCTGCAGAGTTGGACAGGACCTCAGAGGTCATCTAGTTCAGTAGCCGGCATTTTTACAATGATGAAACAAAGGTTAAGTGGAGTGGTTTACTTGTATAACCCTTTTAAGGAAAACTTCAATGCCAAATGGTAAAAATAAATAAATAAATAAAGATTTTGTTGCTAAAAGTGGCAAAACTTAGATTTCTAAGGGTTTTTTAAATTAGGTTTGAAAAATGAGGAGCTGCAGGAATATAACCCAGCATGGGGGGATTTGAGAAAATGTGAAGCAGATATTTCAGCAACTGTCTGAGATTCAAGATGGAGCACCCCATGCCCTCTGGGCTGCTTTCTCTAGTGTCTTAGACTCTGTATTTCTGAGAAATGCCCCAGAAAAGGAAAAGAGCCTAACTCATTCTTCCCTCACTCCTCCCATCTTGTTACTATCAAATCTCTGATTTCAAAGCTTAGCTCAAATGCCACCTCTTCCAGGAAGCTTTTCCTGATTTCCCTCTTGAATTCCCTGCTCCAACTGGTACTCATCACTTCCTCCTGTTAGTCCCCTCTAGACACCCAGTTCCATGTTATAGCCTCTTTCCTTTGCCCATCTCATACAATAGTTATCTTTGAACATATTGATAAAAGAGCCCCTATTCTATGCCAGGAACTCCAAAGGCCTTACCTCTAATCCTCACAGCAAAGCAGCAAGGTGTGTTTCACTATATCCACTTTACAGAGAAGAGAGCTGAGATGCAGAGGGTGGTCATTTCCTCGAAGTCAAACAGCTAGTAAGTGGCAAAGCCAGGACTCCAGCCCAAGTTTGCCTGACTCCAGGGCCTGTACTCTTTCCACAACACTGAACAAGGGCAGGATCTGTGTCTAGTCATGACTTGTACACATTTGGTACTCAGTGTGCGTTTCTGAATGAATGAAAGAGTAAATGTATGAATGAATACGAGAATTACCCTTCCTTTGAAGGCTATATCTCAGAGGTCAGCAAACTACAGCATGGGTTCCAAATCCAGCTTGTCTCCAATTTTTATAAGTAAAGTTTTATTGCCAGCACAGCCATACCCATTCCTTCATGTATTGTCTATGGCTGCTTTTCATGTACAGCATGAGTTATCTCATAACAGAGGCTATGTGGCCCATGGAGCCTAAACTATTTTCTATCTGGCCCCTTCCAGAAAAAGTTTACTGACTTCTGCTATGGTCTTTACTAAGCTGGTTAAAACAACAGTGCTGCCCTACCCGGTTTGGCTTAGTGGATCGAGCGTCGGCCTGCAGACTGAAAGGTCCCAGGTTCGATTCTGGTCAATGGCATGTACCTTGGTTGCGGGCACTTCCCCAGTAGGAGGTGTGTAGGAGGCAGCTGATCGATGTTTCTCTCTCATTGATGTTTCTAACTCTCTATCCCTCTCCCTTCCTCTCTGTAAAATATCAATAAAAATAGATTTTAAAAAAAACAAACAAAAAACAAAACAGTGCTTATTGCTAAATACTAGTAATCTTATCTCTATGATCTGGAATAGTGTTTGTGTGGGAGGGGGTATGCATGTGTGTGTGCATGCTTGTGCATTGTATACATGTATCTTGTATTTGCCCCTTTATTATTTTACAGGCAGGCTTCATCTAAAAAGGTTTACCCCATAGGCCCTTTGGAAATATGTATATATTTAAATTAAGTTTAGCTTGATTGGCAACACCTTGGCATAGACATGGTGAAGACCAAGGGACCCAGGCAGCAAAGACCTTCCCTGAGCAGAGGAGGGCAGACTCCCCGGGCAGTGGCAATGGGTGTGGATTTTGAAGCTTGCCAGCACAGTATTGTCACGGCAGTGTTTGAGCTGAATGAAAAGCAGCCTGTGTGATCGATTACACCCTGTTTCATCTCTGCTCCCAGTGGCAATCAGTATTCCAGGCTCCCAACCTCACCTCCTCCCCTGGGCCACGAGCACTCTTTCTCTCCCAAGCCGCCCCCTAGTGCAGCCTCCTAAGAGGCCAGCACACTGCTTACCATTCCTGCTCCCGGGAGCTCAGGACTGGCCTCTGGACCCTTGGCATCTGGACCAGGAGCAGCACCAAAGCAGGGATTGGCCGGCTCCTACCCCAAGTGCCCGGCAAGCCAGGCACTGGGACCTCTCGGGGGCGTGCCAGATCTCAGCCTGTCGCCAGCATGTGCTTTCTGGCCAGTCCGCCTTTGGCCTTGCCCACAATGACAGGCCCATCACTCAGCCTCACTCATCTGCTCACCATCTCAGGACTGCTCTGTTACTCAGCTTGCTGCTTGGGTGAGTTGTGTGCGTGCGTGTGTGTGTGGCATGCATGTGCAGTTACATGCGTGTATGCATTGTTTTGGAAAAAAAGACTCTCAGAAAGCAGACTTGTTTTGGGAGCCTGTAGCAGCTTTAAATCTTAAACTTCTCAGCCTGTGTTGGAATTGTAACCTAAGGGGTTTGACAGTGGAGAGGGGGTGGGGGTCGGCATACATTCTCGTGTGTGTGTGTGTGCGCGTGTGTGCGTGTGTGCGTGCGCTCGCGCGTGCGCCCCTCTCTTGACCTTGACTTCAGAGAGGCAGGCTGGCAGCTGCCGTTGCCTTGGCTCTGGAGTAACATCATGTTCTGTGGTCTGGGGCCAGCCCTCGTTTGGGGGGCCGGGAAGCTCTCCATCATCTCCCCCTGACTGGCCTGGGTCATGCCCCTCACCATCCCAGGGGCCAGAGCCACCAAACCGCCCAATTGTTGTGGGTTGTGTTCTCACCTGCCCCCCACACCTGCTCAGGAGCAAATTGGAAGATGGCAAATTCTCATATGGTCTTTCAGAGAGGTTCAAATACCTTCCACTTTTAGGATCAGAATTTGTGTTTCAAGGTGTATGTGGTATGGGTGGGGATTGAAGGAAAGTTGTAGGGTGACATCTTCTCTGGATTATGTGAATTGGGGAAAACCAGGCAAATTGCAGCCAGAAAAAATGAGAACTTGACTGTAGCTGAGCCATCTCAGTCAGGGTCCAAACACTTAGTGATGCTGCGCTCATCACCTTTCCTCTCCTCTTCGCAGGTTCCTCAGAAAGTCAGGGAAAGGCCCAAAAGCTGGTGGAGGAGGAGGGGGAGGAAGGTGAACGGTCCACCAACTGCATGAGCAGTTGCAGAATAGTTAGCATGTGGCTGCATCTTTCATTTTCCCAACCTGCAAAGACAGAACGTTTATGTCATTTTTCTCCTTTGGTGGCTTCTAATGACACATTTGCTTGATTTGGGGTGGGGGGTGCTTCTCGATACAAAAAGGGAGGCAGAAACAGAAAGGGCTGTTTGTAGTACCCTAGTCATGGGCTGGACTTGTGAGTGGGAGATCCAGATGGACACGGTGTTGATCCTGGTGTCAGATGCATAAAAAGTACTTGGATGATGGTTTGGGCCAAGCTCCTTGTGGCCCAGGTGGGGAAACCGAATCTCAGATTGAAAAGGGAGTTGTGCCATGTCACAGGGTCACTTGCATCCGGACTCACACTCTTTGATCCAAGTCCCTATCTTTCCAAGAGTAAATTGGAGTGAGTCACTCTCCAAGGATGTGCCCAGAGTCAAGAGGGTATTGAGTCCAAAGGGCAAAGCCAGCATCAGCCACAGCAAAACAACCTCAATCATTTGCCCAAACCCACACTGGACTTGGCATGTTTCTGCCCGTGATTTGGCACTGCAGTGGGCATGCACAACATGACTTCAGTGCCTTTGAGCCAGGGCAGGTGGTCCTAAAATTCTGTCATTGTGGGCATTTCCAAGGCAGCTGGCAGGGCTGAGCCACATGGTGCAGACAGGTTTCTGCTCCCCATGTACATACACTCAGGGTTTTTCCATCACAGCAGAGCCGACTGGGGCTTTTCCAGCCTAGACCCTGAGCTCAGACACGACTCCATGGAGGCAGCATAGTCCAGAGAGAGAGAGCCACAGGCCACTCAGATGACACCAAAATAGACATGTGAAGTCCTGGCTTAGTTGTCTGGGAAGAGGCGGGGGGTGGGGGCAAGCTGTTCCCAAACATGTCCACCTGATGGAAATATTCTGAGTTGGAATGAGCTGTAAATAAACTAGACTGTGCTAAAAACAAACATCTCCAGGGAGTTTGGGGGAGGGGGCAGAAATAGATGGTCTTCACCTGCTGAAAATGAAGTAGGTCAGGGGGGAAAGGGATGGGGCGGGGGTGAACCATGCAGATGCCTCTGCAGGAAAAGCAACCAATAATTTATGTTCACTGAAGAGTTCTCCGGTTTCCAGGAAGAAATGAGAGGTGATTGCTTTAAGCAATACAGGGTCTTTCATCAGTGGAACACCACACAGGGCATGGGGTGAAGGGACACATTGCCGGCCACGTATGGTCTGCAAAAATAAATGGTCAGGAGTGCACATGAGCCACGCGCTCCCCAGGTGTTTGCTGCTGGGAGGGGCTTTGTGCATCCTCAGCCCTTAGCTGTCTGCTGAGGCCAAGGGGAGGCAGAGGAGGCATTGCAGCTGGGGGACCCTGAGAGGGTTCTTGCGTGCTGGTGGGTGTCAGCCATCCTCCTGCACACACCTGAGATGGAGTGGAGCAAGGGAAGCTGCCCACTCCTGCCTTTAGGGAAGAAACTAGAAGAGTAATACCATTGGCATTAATGTCAAGTTTCATGATAAAATAGCTATATGAGTTTACCACTGAGAAAGAGAAAAGCAGCCCAGGACAGCTGGAGCAGGCCTGCTACTCAGAGCCAGGCCACGCGCTCTCCTGTCGAACGTAAATGATCTCACAGAACATCAGACAAGGTCACTCTGCACCTATAACGGATCAAGAAAGAACAAGGCCACTCTGCCCCCCGTGTCAGACACAGACAAAATAAGTCTGTCAACCAGCCACAAAAATGACCCACTGTCCCTCTATGCTTTCTAATATGAGTGACTACTGCTGCCTGGCCAGTCCCAGCATCAGCCTCCCTTCTCCTCCTCTAGCTAAGAAGTAAGATAGTCATAGACTAGCCCTTGCTTCCTGACAGCATCCAATCCAGAGCAGGACCTGACTTTCTTCCTTATTGTCTCCTCCCAAATCACCTGCCAAAGCCCCAATCCTGGAGTAAATCCTTTCTCACGCCCTGTTACTGGGATGCTCCCTTGTTCCCCCTGGAGTGCGTGCCCCCTCTTTGCAATGAGTCAATAGAGACAGCTGTGTTCAGCTACAGGTGTGTTCCTGGTGGTCTTTGGATGGAGGGCACTGGTACTGTCAATCTCAGGTAGTTGCTATGGGGGCCCTTTGCCTTCTTCTTCTTAGCTCCTGACCTTTATTTCCACCCACATTGGAGTCATAGTGTAGAAATCTAGGGGAAGGATTCTAGAACCAGACTGATGGGTTCAAATCCTGGCTCTGTCCCTTCCTAGGTGTATGACCTTGGGCAATCACTTCACCTCTTTACCTCAATTAAGTGATCTGTAAAATGGGGGTGATGAGATGGTGATGATAATAATAATAGTACTTAACTCTCAGGGTTGTGTGAGGATCAGGAAATTTTATATATGTGAAGCATTTAAATGGTGCCTGGCATGTCATAAGTGGTTTTTAAAAAAAATTTGTTTATCAAACATTTGAGGAATATCTAGGGTATGCTAGATACTGTTCTAGACCTTGGGGATAAAAATGGCTTCTATCCTCTGGGAAAGCAAAGGTTAGTCAGAGAGATACAAGGAAACAGATTCACCCATAGATAAAGGTTAATATAGGAGTGAACCCAAAGAAGAGCATAGCAGGACCCCTCAGCCTTAGCCTGGGAAGTCAAGGAAAGCTTCCTGGTGGAGGCAGCTCCTGACAATTCTTGATGTACAGTAAGTCTCCAGGATGTGAGAGGAGAAGGTGCGATATGAGCAGAAGGGTCTTGGCAGCTGCTCAAGCTCCACAAGCTTTACCATCTTAGATCAGGGGCACCGTTTAGGCATCTTTCTACCCTCCCCCAAGGGCTAACCCAGTGTCTGGCCAAACATGTGCTCAAATGAACAAATGTTTAACACAAAATTTGGCAGATTTCCCTACAAACTAGTGCTTCCTCTGACTTTTCCATCTCATACTCTGACCACTGTTACCCTGGGTCCCCTGCAACATCAAAAGCACCCTTGATTGTTCCCCATCTTTCGCTCCTACACCAGCCCTGGTTTTCTTCTCAGTAACCTGTACATCAAGAGATTCCATGTGACAATGAAGCTCTGAGGGTCCAGGGCCCTCTCTTCTCTTTGCACCCATGTACTGAGACATTTAACTGTAACTCTCTAGTGAGCATGGGTGACACAGAATGTGTGCGTAGAGTCTGGAGTCAAATATGTATCTTAAACCATGGCTCATGGTCTTTTGTAATCAATGCTACCTCCAGCCCTGGCTGCCTCCCTCTCTGAACACTTCCTCCCGAGCACAATATCAAAGTCATTCACAATGACTTCCTTCTCCCCAACTATTGGGGGCACATATGAGTCTGTTTAACTTTGAATTCCTTGCCCCATCTGCAAAGTGACAAGTCACTTCTTGAAGAAGGAGAAATGGACCTTATAATAGTCAGTGTCCATGCCATTTGCTTATCTTACACATATCATCTCTCGAAGGCCAAGGGAGGCCTATGTCCAATAGCAAACAGGAGGTGCACTCACATCTAACAGGTTGGGAATCAGATGGGGAAGTCTGGGGTGGCAATGTGGGTCTCCTTGGGCACAATAGGCGTGACAGGGGCCTAGCCCTGCCCCATGCTAATGAGCAGCAGTTTTCTCTAAACAGCCCTTCCTGGCCTGGATCAGAAGAAACGTGGCAGCCACAAAACATGCTGCCTGCTGACACCTCCTCCGCCCCCCCTGTTCCCACCACCATTCTTCAGAGAAGGCCGAAGTCCGGTGAGTACCTTAGGACATGTGAGGGAACAGAAACGGGGCTCCTCAGTGCCCACCACACTACCCCACTGCCCCATCCCTCAGTCAGCTTCCTCCAGAATCTTCTCTCATGCAGCAGGTTGAGCAGGGAAGGGATCTTTCCCAGCTTCTGGTAATGTCCATTCTTCCTCTGTCTTCGCTGAGTTATGGAGGGGATTCTTCTCAGCAGGGAACTGAATTTGGCCAAGTGTCCCCTCTTCCTGAAAACAGTGAGGTGAATGGATGACTTTCTAGGCTCCCATCAGCTGCTCAGATATGGAATTTCCCCTTCTGTTTGTCCTCCCACCCAAGTATCTATGGAATTCCCTTCCATGGCCTGTCTTAGATATAGACTGTTTCTGTGAGGTGACGCGGGAAATAGCCCTCCTGTAGCCAAACTGAGGTGTGAGAGGGAACAGAATTTGGAAAGAGCGGAAAAGGTGAAAGAAAAAGCAGGATGTGGGGAGCTGACCTAGAAGACAATAGGCGGGGACTTGAGAGTCTCAGATCTTTCCAGAAGCTCTTCGACTTATACTGTCCAATACTGCCACTAGCCGTATGGCTATTGAGTTGAGCTGTGCATATAAAATACACACAGAATTGTGAGACTTCATATGAAAAGAAGACTGTAAAATATTTCATTAGTAATTTTTAAATATTGAATATGTGTTAAAATGATATTTGGGGTGGACTGGGTTAAATAAAATATATTAAAATTAATTTCACTTGTTTCCTTTACTTTTTTAATGTGGCTACCAAGAAAAGTTAAAACTGTATATGTGGTTTGCATTGGTTGCTCACATTTTATTTCCTTTGGACAATGCTGTCCCAGACATTGGATAGAGGCCCCTGAAATGAGCTTCCTAACTCCACCATTGTGGCTTTGTAATCCATTCAAGCCAGGTGCGTCTCAAGAGCAGGTGAGAGAACAGACACTGGTGGCCAGGAAGGTCACCTTAGGATACCCATTGGGGTGTAAGAGAAGCGCCAGTCCTGGGAACTGGTCTACGAAGCAGGTCTGTGTCAAGGGTGGTGACCCTTCTTCTGTCCCGCAAGTCTGACCTATAACCCTGTATTGCTTTGCATTGAAGCTTCTCTCCCCAGACATGAAGAATCTCATCCTGGAACTGGAGACCACACAGTCCCCGTGTGTCCAAGGATCGCTCGGCTCCCCTGGGCCTCCGGGCCCCCAGGTTGGTGCATTCCACCAGACCGCTTCTCCTTTCCTGCTGTCTTCTGTTCAGAGAAGTGAAGCTCGTAGAGATGCCCGTTTTAATGTGATATGGGGGCTGTTTTTCCTTCTCTGGCTCACCTCCAGCTCCAGAGCCATGTGAATAGAACTCTGGTTCTTTAGGTGAATTCTGGCCTCCCAGTTTTGGTTTCCTCATTCATGCAACGAGGATAATAATTGTCCCTGCAGTACTGGATTTAGGATGGGGGAATCAAGTGAGATGCTGCCTAGATGGATGTGGTTATTATTATAGCTACCACAAAACAGTTGATGACAGTGGGTTGCCCCTTATGTGGCCATTGACCCCATTCAGTGGGCCCAGAGGCACCTGCATCCAATGCAGGAAAGTGGAGGCAAAGAGGAACCTGTTACCTTGAGCCCACTTGACCCAGATACAGCTACCAAGCAGCCTACCCCTCCCCAGCAAAGTTAAAGGGAAGAGTGAGGAACAGGCAAAAATACTAGAGAAAGGATTTCCAGGCAAAGACACCTGGTCACAGACTCCTGGCTTCCCTGGCTGCCTGGGTGGGGGCTCCCCCAAGGAGGAATGTCCCCTAGCCTGGGGCTCTGGGCCTGCCATGGGGAAGGGAAAGAGGGAACAAGGAGCAATCAGTCTCCCAAGTACCTTCCTTAGGAGTTATCTCGCCCTCCTGGGTCACCCTGCCATGGCTTCTGTCCAGGAAGACTGAGAGATCCTCTCCTCACTCTGGTTACAAAGCCCCACATGCGGAGACCCGGCCTGTATCTCCTGCATCATCTCATGCCACCAACTCTGTCCACTCACAGCCACAGTGTGTCTCGGGTCCTCAAGCACCTTGTTCCAGCCTTGGGGACTTTACGCTGGTGGCTCCAGCATTTGGAATGTTCTTCCTTCTGATTTTTACCATGGCCAGCTCCTTTATCACCTCCTTAGCAATGCCTTTCTCAACTACCCAAGCCTTCCCCATCACTCTCCATCCAATGGCCTATTTTAATTCTCTGCCAATTTTTCTCCTGTTGTTATAGCTTCCTTATTAAATTTTTTGTTCCTAATCTCTTTGGTCTCCTCTCCATGAAATATAAGCTGTGTGGCTGGGGTTGGCAAACTATTGCCCATGGGTCAAATCCGGCTTGTTTTGGCAATTCAAGTTTTATGGTCTCTGGCTGCTTTTGCGCTGCAAGGACAGAGTTGAGTAGTTGTGACAGAGTTGCTGTGTTAAAGGCACAGCCTAAGATATTTACTATCTGGATATTTACAGAGAAAGTTAACTAACCCCTGGTCTTGAGGACATTGTATTGTTCATAATATGTGTCCATCTACACCACCTCATGGGATATAGTAGGTTCTCCATAAATATTTGCTAAATGCAATAAGGAATATAGGAGTTGGCCAGAGGGGCTGGGAAGTCTGCAGAAAGGCAAGATGAGCACCCTGAGGAGCACCTCTCAGGTGGGTTTCTATCTTCCCACAGTCTATGCTGGCAGCTGTCAGGGCACAGGGAGACCCACAGACCATGGGGAAAGAAGGGGAATTCTCTGCTGACCAGCAGCTCCCCAGTCACTTGCTCATCTCTAACTTCTCACAATCCTATCTGAGTCACATGGGGGCTGTGCTGTCCAACTCCAGGGGACCATCCAACCACCTCCGTTCTCTTAAAACAGAGTGGATGCTGTCCCCACCAAAATGAGATATATGGACCAGCAACATTGGCATCATCTGGGAGCTTGTTCCAGATGCAGAATTTCATCCTCCCCTTTCCACTACACCCCCCTCCACCATTCAATCAGAATCTGTATTTTAATGAGACACTCAGTGAATCATGAGAATGTCGGAGCTAAAGCACAACCCTAGTAAAGTAGTTCTAGCCCATTTTAAGAAATGGAAAAAAACCAAGGCTTGGAAAAATTGAAAGACTTGAACAAAAACTCTCTGTCCTCCCCTCCCCAAAACAGAAGGAGAATAAGCCAAAGGTGGTGGTTTCCAAATTTGTCTGCACATTAGAATCCCCTGGGAACTTGAAAAATTCCTGATGCTTGTGCCACTCTCCTTGAGATTGTAATTGGTCTGGGGCATGGCCTAGTCTTTGGGATTTTTAAAAGATCCCCAGAGCTTTCTAATGTGCAGATAGGTTTGGGAACCATTGGCTGAGGGGGCTGTTTGTCATTTAGAGACAAGTCTAATAAAATCATATTTCAAACAGGCTTTGTGTTAGTCATGTTCACCTGCAGATCTTGGGGATAAAGTAGTAGCCTTGGGGAGGAGGGGGGGCGGTGGTTGATGGATTTCCTCCCTGCTGTATGGAGGAATTTGGAAACAGTTAACCAGCTGATCATTCCATGGACGCATGAGCAGAAAGCAGCTGTATTCTGCCGTGGGTGTGCCAAGCCTTAGTGCAAAGGTGCTAGAGTCCCTGAGCTGGAGTCAGCCCCACCCCATGGCTGGGCAATTGCACAAAAATGCAGTATTTACTTGCCCACATTCTTAATGTCTTTTGCTGCACCTGGTACCCATAGATCCACCATGGGAATTTTTAAATATCTTCTGTGTGCAAAGTGTAACTTCCCTCTTGTCAGGACCCAGGGAAGCTTGGTAAGAGCAACTGAAAAGATAGGAGAGGGGTGAAGCATCTTGTTTTCAGCAAACAGCATTTCTTCACGTATCTTCAGTTGCTCTTGCCAAACACTCCTGATATTTCAGGCAACCCAAGAATTCCAGGGAGAAAATTAAACTCAGAGTAGACATGAGCATTGCAGCCTTCGAACCATTGGAAACACAGCTCAGAGAAGCTAGAAGAGGGGGATCACAGAGGAGGAGACTGGGCTGGCATGCATAAGAGGGTCCTTCATGGGGTTTCTGGGGCCCTGAGTCTGCACAGAGAGTGAGGCTGCTGTAGGAGTGTTCCAAGGGCATTCCCTCGGTCCTGCCTCCCTCACCCCCGTCCTTGATAATTCCAGTCTGTGTTTTTGTATACTTGGTCCGACGTATACTTTCTTTGCTTCTTGGTTGTGTAGGGTCCACCGGGGCATCCAGGCAAGACAGGACCAAAGGGAGAAAAGGTATGAGTCACTACTCTCTTCCAGCCTGTTTTCTGGGGATGCCACTGAACATTTTCTGGCTGAGATTTCAAGGCATGTGGTAATTCTGCCTTAGTGCACAAGGATGGGCTCCATGAGGACGGGGCTGCTGCTGCAGGTGTGGGTTCCCACCAGTGTATTTTGGCTTGGCCCACTGCCGTAACAGCGGTGCTGTGAGTGGCCAAGCCACCAGCCACATGGGCATGCCCAGCCATCAGCCCTACTAAGCCCTCTGCTTCCAGAACTTCTCTTCCAAAGCAGCCTCCGCTTACCTGCCTTTTCCACCCACAGGGGGAGCTTGGCCGACCAGGAAGGAAGGTATGGTCTATGTTGTCAGCATTACATGACAACTGTGCTCTGCGTGCGTGCGTGAGTGTGTGTGCACTCCTTCGGGTGGGGAACCAGCGGTGCACTACTGCGGCCTCCAACCCACTGGACAGTGGTGGCACCACCATCCTGATGATGACAACAGCACCTATGCTGTTTCTGCCCACTCCTTCGTTTGGGAGCTGGAGCCAGCTACTGCCAGGCATTTGGACTTCTTCCAGAGGCTGCCAAGCCCAGCCAGATTTCCCACAGCTTCAGAGCATCTCATCCTGCCTTCCATCAGAGAAACCCTCCAAGGCCCCAACCAGTGGCACAAAATGACTCTCACTGTCTATTAGATTAAACCAGAATAAAGTGCCAAACAGACAGAAACAAAAGGATTTTGCAGTAATAAATTGGAGTTATTTAAGGTCACAGGGACTCTGAGTGAACCAAACACATGTTATCAAGACTCTCATTACAGCCAGGAAGAAGAAAACCAGCAGCCATTCCCTGTGGTCAATGGATGCTGGTGCTGAAATTGTAGGTCTTGATGATAGAAGTAGGTGCAAAACTTTGGCCAAGAAAGATGCCTGTGATTCTAAATATAAATTACTATTTTTGGGTTGAATGTTTTATTCAAATACTTTCACTATCAATTAGAGTCTCAAACAGACCTTTGGGAGGTAAATTTACAACCCTTTAGAGCACGGATGACAACTCCAGCCAAGGCACAGTGGTTGTCCGAACTGTTGGGCCAGAAAGGAATCTGGCATGGTCTCCATGCTCAGAACTAATGAAGGCCATGGTTCATTAGTGATGTGTGCCATGGATGTGGGAGGCAAGAGTAGAAATTTGTACACATGCAGCACTTTGGGTTTTTGGGGTGTTTTTTTTTGGTTTGTTTGTTTTTGTTTTTATTGATTTCAGAGAGAGGAAAGGAGAGGGGGAGAGAGATAGAAACATCAATGATGAGAAAGAATCAATTAGCTGCTTCCTGCACGCCCCTACTAGAGATGGAGCCCAAAACTCGGACATATGCCCTGACTGAGAATGGAGCTGGGACCTCCTGGTTCATGGGTCGATGCTTACCCATTAAGCCACACCAGCTGGGCCACATGCAGCATTTGTGATCCCTGGTTAAGGGGCTCAGCCTTCCGCATCTCTAGCTAGGCTAACTGAAATTAGCCAGTGGGTTCAAAAGTCAAGATAGACCCCCAAGTCCCTGCTCCCACTCTTTCTTTCAGGGCTTACTCTTCCATAGCCTCTGGCTTAGGTTGAGTTCCTTAGAAGCAGTGACAGAGATGGCACGTGCCATGTGCAAGTGAGTCGGTTATTAAGGGAGCTCTTTCAAGAGGAGTCTGAGAAGAGGGGCATCCAGATGGGATGGGGAGGAAGCCCAATGTGGGAGTGGTATCAGGTGGTGTCCAGCTTCAGCCTGATCCCTGGGGAGCTGTGGAGTAAGAATTGCACCACAGAGTGTCTTGCCTTGAGGTAAGGGAGCCAGGCTATTGGCTACAGGGAGGGGACATACATAAATCACTGGACAGATCCGGTTGCCCACAGAAACTCCACAGTTGCAGGTTGCAGGAATGAGTTGTTACAGCAAGGAAGGTAGCCCCTGGGGGATGTGCACACTGAGCAGGTGAAAAAGATCTGGAGGAAGAACCAACAGCATTTGCTACTGCTTCCCAAACATAATCCTATGCCATTTACATCCCACCCTTGGGGAGAACCTATTGGAATGCAGGGGATGGGTGGGTGGGTGGGTGAAGGTGATAAAGATTGAAAAACCAAGAAGTTTAGAATCCCTTCTCTACCACCTTTTGTTTCTTTAATAGAATAAGATCTTGTGTGTTGACACAGTGTCACACCATGGGCTAAGTGATCCAACTTTTTGGCTATCAATTTTCGGAGATGAGGGTCCTGAGGCTGTGCTTTAGAGGCCCCATACTCCTCCGGGCTCCAGAGACAAATCTTGTTTCCTGGAAAGAGGGAAACAAATCCAATTTTCCTGACTTTTGTTCTTTGACTTTGAAGGGTAGACCTGGCCCCCCGGGTGTTCCTGGTATGCCTGGGCCCATCGGCTGGCCTGGCCCTGAAGGACCCAGGGTAAGTGTGGTGCAATCTCAGGGCTCATGTGGTATCAGAACGTGAGGGAGAAGATGGCAGCTCCCTGGCCCCTGGCACACAGTGAGTGACACTCACGTCCTCAAGAGGGAGTGGAAGAAGAGAGCACAAATACTGTCCATAGGCCCCCAAATATTTCCTCCTTCACTTGGACTGCAAGACCTCAGCCAGTCCAAAGCTCTGCTCCTGTAGGGGGGAAAATGAGGGGCTGCTGACCTCTTTCACCTGGGCCCTGATTCTCCTTTGTCCTGAAGGGTTAGCATGTGATTCTTTGGTTTCCCTGAGATGACCTAAGAGGGGCTTGTGTCTGGAAAGCTGTTGGCCTGTCATGCTGATCTGGCTGGAGGTGGAGGGTTGAGGGGGTTGGGTTGGCTGACTGGAACGACTAAAACCCTACATTCAGAGAGGGATCACCAAATGCTGATGAATTCCCTTCCTCAGGCAGGCTATGGAAAGCTAACATGCCCACTCCCGTGCCTTTGCTTACATTCCACTCACTTTGGTCATAGATCATGGGGTGTAGAGGCCATGACTTGGGCAGGTAAATGTCACTATATAGTTTGATTCACTTACTGGAATAATTTTTAAGGGAATAGAAAACTGTTCTCAATCCTTGTAAGTGAAGTCCCAAGGATATGTCTTGAAAATCAACTGTATAAAGTTGAGCCACCCAATATGGCAGCCATTGGACATATGTGGCTATTGAGCCCTTGAAATGTGGCTAGTGCAACTGAGGAACTGACTTTTTTTTTAACTTTAATTAAGTTTAAATTTTAAAACTTTTACTCAGTTCAGTTATTTGAAAACATTTAAGTATGTGAATCATATGTTGAATATGTGAATCTGCTTTTTCAACTATAAATTTTATGAACTCTGAATAGAGATCATATATTTTGGATGAAAATTTAGTGCCTGAATTGAGATGTGGTTTAAGTGTACAATGTACAACAGATTTCAAATATTTATCTTACAAAACAGAATGTAAAATATCTCATTAATAGTTTTTATGTTGACTACATGTTGAAATGATAATTAGATTAAATTAATTAAAGTAAATAAAATATATTGTTAAAGTTAATTTCACCTGTTTAGTTATAGTTTTAATGTGACTTCTAAAATATTTTTAAATGAAGTATGTGGCTCACCTTATATTTCTACTGGTTAGCACTGGTATAGTTTTTTAGCACAGAGGGTGCTGAAAGTTCCAACTGCAAATGATTCTGAGGGGCAACAGAGCTCACCCATGAGTCTTAGCCCCCTGCCTTCATCGTACACACCCAGAGGATGATGTTCACTCTACTTGGTTGCAACCCTAGGGTGAGAGTATATGGAGATGTCTGAAAGATCCACCCTATGCAAAGAGCAAAGCAGGTGAAGTTTTTTGGTGCTGACACCTTGTCCTCTGGGGCCCCATGCCCCATGCTCTCCCCCTCCCTCACCCTCCTACAGCCTTCTCTAAGAAAAGATCAAGCATTATTCCATTAAAGCATCTTAGTGAGAATTTGAATTCAGTTTTGGAGATCTGCTCTGCCTTGGGAATTTCATTTCATATTTAATCTCAAATACCAGAATGAAGTGTGGAGAATTGGGCCCCTGGGAGTAAGCAAGGGAGTATTTGGGGTCCTCAGATTCACAAGCTAGCCCCAATGTCCCAGTTCCTTTCTGATCTTGCCCATAACTTCCTAGTTCAGTTTTTCTAGGAAATGTCACTAGAGGTCTTTATTTTCCCTCCTGATTCCCACAGGGTGAAAAAGGTGACCTGGGTCTGATGGGCTTACCAGGGTCAAGAGGACCAATGGGCTCCAAGGTCAGTGTGTTGGTCCAGATGGATGTTCTCAGATCTTCTCACTAAGGCTCTGGAGCAGCTGTTATCTACAAAGATAGGATCTGGGTGTGTCTGCCATCCTGGGCCAGCTGATGTCACAGATGTTGGACAGCCCAATGCCAGTGTGCTTGTCTTTACCAGCCTTTGGGGGACACCAGGGCTGGGATGCAGGGACATAGAAATGCCATTCCTGCTATTCTTCTGGGCAGCAAGGGTCAAGCCTTGGGACAACAAAACAGATGGAAATCTTTGTTCAGGCCTTTGGAGTGGTGGTAAGAAAAGCAGCATTCTTTTTAGGCCTGATGTAAACACAATCCCAAGGGACTTTTTGGTATTGAATGCTGCAGCCCCCGCTAAAACTTTCAGTGCAATGAGGCACATCTCACCACCACATTCAGGGATTCTGTCCACTCTCACACCAAACCCAGTGGTCCGACAAGGCTGATTGTAAATATGCCTTCTGCTTTCTTTTAGGGCTACCCCGGATCCAGAGGGGAAAAGGTTAGTGCTTCTCTCTCCCAGCTTCCCAGAGCCTGGTCTGGGCTAGTGGCTCCGGGGCCAGTGAAGATGGGCCCACGTCTCTCTTCAGTCAGTGACTGCAGTGACCTTGCCTCAATATTCCTCATGTTTTATCAGTGGGCTGAGAGAAGTGAGGGGCCCCTGAGGTAGGGCAGGCAGCTTAGGGAGGAGCTCCCAGTGGAGGTTGAGGCGCTCATATGGAGCAGATGAGCACTGAAGCTGTGCCAGATGGAGAATGAACGCAGCTTGCGTGGTGTGCTGGAGCAAGATGGCAGATGTGTGTCTTTAGACCAAGCTATCACCACACAACCTTCTTGTCTGTCAAAACAAAAAAACAGAAAACCAGCCAGAACCTGGGGACAGATTTCCTATAGAAAGGGAGAGGTTCTGGGACTCAGAATTTTCTGTGCCTTGAACTTATTAATGCAGGAGGTATTTGGGGTCCAAATAGAAGGTAAATCACAAAGCATTTCTTCCCTAAGAAGGTCTTGTAATCTCTGAGCCTGTTTCTTTGCCTGTGAAATGAGGGTATTGGCATAGGATAGGGAGTTATTAGTTTAAAATGCTCCATTTTTTCTCCCATGGTATTAACGCATGTACTCTCTCCTGTGGTTTTCTCTTAGGGATCCAGAGGTGAAAGGGGTGACTTGGGTCCCAAAGGAGAAAAGGTAATGGCTGTTGCATAGAAATGATCAAATACAATGGAAGTGGTGAACCCTGCCTACCCCCATCTTATGGGCGGACTGACTAACTGGCTCGCTGGCTGACTGACGAACTGTCTGTCTGTCTGGCTAACTGCTTGACTGTTTGTCTATCTGTCTGACTAGCTGACCGACTGACTGTCTGACTGACTGACTGGCTGTGACTGACTGGCTGTGACTGAATGACTGGCTGGCTGGCTGACAGGCTGGCTATCTGTCTAACTGGCTGTCTAACTGGCTGACTGGCTATCTGTCTGACTGACTGGCTATCTGTCTGACTGACTGGCTGTCTGTCTAACTGACTTGCTGGCTGGCTGGCTGTCTATGAATGACTGACTGACAGGCTGGCTATCTGTCTAACTGGCTGACTGATTGGCTGTCTGTCTGTCTGGCTATCTGTCTGACTAGATGACTGGCTGACTGGCTGTCTGTGTATCAGTCTGATTAGCTGACTGGCTGGCTGGCTGGCTGACAGGCTCTATCTTGAAAATGGCTGACTAAGCTCTTCCACAGCCCTCTCAAGAGTTATTCAGAGGCAATCACTATTATTTGTTGTTCTCTTCACAGGGTTTCCCGGGATTTCCTGGAATGTTGGGGCAGAAAGTAAGTACCTACAAGTAGTAAAAAATAGAAGTAGGAAAATAGACCATCCAAGTACAACAAAAAGAGGCCTGCCTCTCTGTTCATGAGGCAGGGAAAGCAGGTCTCGCTATGGAAGATTCTGGTTTGAAAGGGGAGCAAGTTGCTGAACATATAGGTGAGAGGTCTGAGACCTCCTCCAGGTCATGGGAGGGCAAGGACACCCCCCTGATGGACAGAGGCCCTACTTTGTACTTGCTGCCCCTTAAAGGGCTGTGGTGATGTTCAAAGGCAGAGAGCTTTGTGACAAGGGGCTCAGGTCTGAACTGTAGTGGTCAAAGGTCCCAGGGGGAGGTGCAAGCTTCTCTGCCTAATGCAACTGCTGACTACACCCAGTCGGCACTTCTTCAGGGAGGCTCATGTCCTGCTACAGGTAGGCAGAGTTATTTCAGTTGGTGATAGCAAGCAATTTTTATTTGCTAGTTAAACTTTTTATTTAAATAGTTAAATACTTAGTGGGATTTCATGAATATCTTGTCTGGGACAAGGCTTAATAAAAAAGGAGTTAATTCAGTTGGCTTAAAGAGAAAATATTGAAAAAAAGAGAAAATATTGAGTAAATAAGAATAAAGTGATGTGAAGATATGACAAAAACTATGAAGGTGACAATTGACAGAATTAAAAAAAGGTTTTCCTTAGGGTTAAGATCTAGGGAAGAAGAATGGGGAGGGTGGTGAGGGGAGGTGTCAGAGAATGAAGAGAGAGTGCACAGATGGCCACCAAGTACACCCCTAATCTAACCCCATTAGTGGTGGGTCCTCATGCCGTGAGGCACTGATGTGGGAAATTGTTATTTTAACCTTGGCCTCAGAGTACAATGTTCTTCAAACATGCCAATGAGATGCTTTCTTAAAAATTCTAAACTTTTTCTCAAGGCACCTTAAAGTTTTATTTTCCAAACTTGAATAAACAATTTCTTATCTGATTTTCTCCAGTCAGTAGAGCATATTTAAATAATTTCAGTCATCTGACATTAATTTATTATCATTTATCACTGCCTTAAGCTGTCAAAAATGTCTTCTGCTACCCTAGATGGGGTATTGGGTTAAAAATAGAGTAAGTAAATGTGCAAATTAAAGGAAACATTAAAAGAGAAAAATGATTAAAAAAATTTTTTTTATTGATTTCAGAGAGGAAGGGAGAGGGAGAAAGAGATAGAAATATCAATGATGAGAGAAAATTGTTAATGGGCTGCTTCCTGCATGCCCCACACCAGGGATCTGCAACCTGGACATGTGCCCTTGACCAGAATTGAACCCGGGACCCTTCAGTCCACAGGCCGGTGCTCTATCCACTGGGCCAAACCAGCTAGGGCAAAAAAAAAAAAAAGATTTTAGTTGAAAATATTTAGGCTAGGCTTTCATTCAGTGCAACAGTGAGCATCAAAGAATAATCCATTACTGTAAAATTAAAGATGACAGTTTCTCTGGTCTCTGCTCCACTTACTAGACTTGCCATCAGGAGTTCTCTTCCCCTTTCAGGGCAGGCTGCTTTAAGACAGAGCAGATATGATAACCATAATTAGGTCAGAGGAGAGAAATTAGATTAAGTGAGTACTGGCTGCTTCCAGTTGATGAAGAGAAGGGCCACACTTCCTTCTGATGGTCTTTTTGAAAAAGTTATGCTGCCCTGGCTGGTTTAGCTCAGTGGACTGAAGGGTTCTGGGTTTGATTCCGGTCAAGGGTACGTGCCTGGGTTGTGGGCTTAATCCCCAGTGGGGAACATGCAGAAGGTGGCTGTTCGATGATTCTCTCTCATCATTGATGTTTCTCTCTCTCTCTCTCTCCCTCTCCCTTCCTTTCTGAAATCAATAATTAAAAAACTTTTTAAAAGTTATGCTGTTCATACTGCTGTTTTCTCCTAGCCAAGCAAGGCACTCCTCGGTCCCTGCAAACAGCCCTGGAAAATTGTGCAAACATCTCCACGGCCACGTAGAATCCATCTCTCCTCTCACACTCTCACTGCCCAGCCTCCCAGAGCACATGGCGGGTTGGAAAGAAATCATAGGAGTAAGGACAATTCTTGGCGAGGCAGGATGTTGGTAGCTTGGGTCAAGACAAATCCATTACATTGGCTGAGCCGGCAGATGATTTCAGAGGTTTCTGCTTGATCCTTGCTTTATATTGGTGTTCCCTGGAATTTTCCAGGTGTTCTACCTCCCCTGACTTCCATGAGAAGAGTCATCTGGGTGTTCACTGTCTCCTCTGAGTGTCTGGGCAGCTCTTCATGGATACTGGCTGCTGACTAGCAGAAGCTCTTGTGGTTGCAATTGCTAAATGTAGCCTGTTGGTGGTGCATTATGGGCTGTTAGAGGGATTGCTGGAACAATTATGGGAACAATGCCCTGTGGTTCATGATCTAAAGCAGCTGTTCTCAACCTGTGGGTCTCGACCCCTTTGGGGGTCGAACGACCCTTTCACAGGGGTCGCCTAAGACCATCAGAAAACACATATATAATTACATATTGTTTTTGTGACTAATCACTATGCTTTAATTATGTTCAATTTGTAACAATGAAATTGGGGGTCACCACAACATGAGGAACTGTATTAAAGGGTTGCGGCATTAGGAAGGTTGAGAACCACTGATAAAGAAACAGCAAGAGGGCCTGGGATCCTAGAAGACCACGGGGAAGAAGGAAGGAGAGAAACTAGAATGGAGAATGAAAGGTTAGCCTTAAACTATAGAATTCGGGCAATTGATGCCTTTTGTTCTGATGCTTCAAAATAGGGCTTTTCAATTAGGAATATTGTTTATATTGCAATATTATATTGCTTTCCATGCCTTTACAATAATTGTATTGAGTATTTGAACATATGTCTCCCCACAAACAGTTTCGTCTAAATCAAATGGAAGTGAACTGGAACTAAAACCAATTTTTACTGAAAAGTGAGGCATGTACAACCCTAGTAAAGGTCATTGCATGAGCAGAAACTTCCCAGAGATGATAGCTGTCAAAACTGTATTTAATCATTAAAAAGTCCATTGAGCCCTGACCAGTTTGGCTCAGTGGCTAGAGCGTCGGCCTGTGGACTGAAGAGTCCCAGGTTCGATTCCGGTCAAAGGCATGTACCTTGGTTGCGGGCACATCCCCAGTGGGAGATGTGCAGGAGGCAGCTGATCGATGTTTCTCTCTCATCGATGTTTCTGACTCTCTATCCCTCTCCCTTCCTCTCTGTAAAAAATCAATAAAATATATTTTTAAAAAAATTTGTGATTCAGTTTTGAATAAGTATTACTTTAGTAATTGGCAATTTCAATTGCTTCCTTAACAGAGGACATGTTTTATCTAAATTGAAATTAATAAAAAACCATTTAAAAAGTATAACCACTTAAGGAAGTGTGTCCAATTGGACATTACTATTGTTAAATTGATTATGCAAAGAGACCATTAGACTGAATAAATAAAAATAAAAAATCCATAGATTTGAATTTATGCTAAAAACAAAACAAAACATAAAATTCAACTAAAAGAGCAAGTGTTTTCCCCCAGTAGTTTATGGCGTCACAGGCACACTTGTGACTGAAATACAACTCTATTGTTGGCCATTCTGGATGGTGATTTGGAACACTAAGATGTGTGCTACCTGGAAGCTGTCTCTCTCAAATAATAAATCACCCGACCAGGATAACCTCCTTTCCTTCCTGGTCCATGAAAAACCTACCTACCTTTCACATGACCTCATCACTCTTCCAGTCTCCCAGAGCAGCCCACTTGGAAAAGATCTGGGATGATCTAGTAGACGGCCTTTGTGGCCAGGGGTTGAGTCGACCTGTAGGGAAGGGCCTGCTCCACATGCCCTAATTCCTCTCTTGCTTCTCTTTTTTCTTTCCAGGGTGAAATGGGTCCAAAGGGTGAGCCTGGGATAGCAGGACACCGGGGACCCACAGGAAGACCAGGAAAACGAGGCAAGCAGGTAAGGATCTAGGGCTTATCAGACCCCCGCAGTTATACCTCCTTACCTGGGGTGGGCAGGGGGGGGTGGCGGGTGCGGTGTGGAGAGGCGTGCCAGTGTGGTCAATCAGAGATATCCCATAGACCCAGTCTTCAGCTTCCTCTGGGCTCGTGGGCAGAAGCTACACCACTTTCAGGAGTTCCTGGCTTCTCTAGGGTAGCCATAGTTTGAGTGGATGGGATAGGATGCTGTGTTCCCACTGTTTCCAAGGCTAGAGCAAGAGTGGATCTTTGGTTCATAAGAACAGGTCTGCCTTAACCAAAGCAACTGGTGTGGAAACCAGATCTGGTCCTTTACCCAGAAAACCTGCTTCTTACCTCAATGCCCCAGACACAAATGGAGTCTTGGAGAACAGCCCAGATATTTCCCTGCTCTTGAAGGTCTTCTGGGTCTCAACAGTAGGATAGTCCCCCCTTACCCCCACTCAGGATCCCAGTTTGTAAGTGACCTTTACTGGCACTGTTAAGGGTTTAGGGAAATTTTTCATTCTGAACTCCCTCTGGTCAGCAGGCTCTTGTGTCAGACCATGTGAAATGGGAGAGCAAGGCAAGAGGAAGGTACAGTTGACTTGGCTGGCTGTGGAGCTGTCTGTCCTGAGTGCCTTAGAGAAACCTCTCATCTTAGCTCTAACAGACAGACATTCTTGAGAGATGTGCCCCTTCACTTTTTAGGTGGTAGTTTGCTTGGTTTTTGCCTCCTTTCCCATTTAAATGAAATATATGATCATCATAGAAAACTTGGAAAATTCCACTCATGAACCAAGAGGTCGCTGGTTCGATTCCCAGTCAGGGCACATGCCCGGATTGTAGGCTTGGTCCCCAGTAGGGGGCGTGCAAGAGGCAGCTGATCAGTGTTCTGCTCTCACATCACATCAATGTTTCTAAAAGTCAATACAAACATATTTTTTAAAAATGATATAATACCCAGGTATAACTATGTAACCACTTTAGTATATTTTCTTTCCAGTATTATTTCTTTTGTCAACTTTCTAGTCATTTGTTTCTTTTCTATCCAATATATAGTTCTTGTATCCTAAATTTTTAACTTAAAATCATAATATATGCATTTTTACTCATTGCTACAGATATTCATTAAGCATTTTAACATCTTTTTTAAATGCCTGCACCAGATTTTAGTAAATGAGTAAGATTGCTTGGACAAGAGAGGCCTAACCAAATTATATATGATGTTGAGAAGTGAACATCTTTGGGCCATAGGTTGTAGTTCCAAGTTTGCCTGTCATTGTCCCCAGTGCCTAGGCCTTACTTCCCAAAGACTCTGATCTGGTGTGAGGCTTCAGCATGGGTTGTTGTTTGATGAAAGCTCCCCAATGATTCTAATATGTAGCCAGGGCTCAGAACATGGTAGCATATGAAGCCAATTCTGATCTTTTCCAAGTGAACTGAGCAACGATATAGCCTCCAACCCAAATAATTCAGATGTCACGATAACTTTGGAAGTCACAATATTCCAGTTCAGTTTTCAAAGTTTTACAATGGGTAGCATGGCTGTGCCTTTACAATGCTGTCACAGATTCCAATTTCCTGAAAACTCGGCTCAGAAAAAGAACAAAAGGAGACATCTTCCTTCCTTCCTTTCTTGTTTTAAAGATCATTTTCTCCCTTACTGCTGATTTCCATTCATAATTTTCCACACTGGGGTTCAAGCAGACTTTTGCCTTCTGTCATCTAGTTCTTTACCTGGGCAGTGTTTATCTTTTCCTGGTGAGGGCTGAAGCCAAGAAGTTGAAAATGATTAGTTGCCGTAATCTTACAACTACCCCAGAGCCATGTCTAGAACCTCAGAGAAGTTAGGGGAATAAGCTCTTCCTTTCTACGAGGAGTGTGCTCCAGACCCTCCGTGCCTGTCTAGTCAGCAGACACTTGAGTTGTTAGCTTTGGGGGCCTGCCATGGTACTTCCTGTTTATCAGAATTAATTTGCTACCAGAGGGTCTTATCTACCAAGTGTCCATTGGGCCAGTCGTGCTGAGTTTCTGGAGGTTATTGTACGTCAATCCAAACCCTAGAATCCAGACTTTAGGAAATGAGAATTTCAGAACCAGGGGATTGTAGTGATCACCCAACTCAATCCCCTTAGCATAGTCACAGGAAACTGAGGGCCGGAGAAGTCGAATGACCTGCCCAGACCCCTAAGCTAAGCCAGCTTCCATGCCACAGTTAGAGCGTGGAGAGTTGAGACCAGCTTTCCCTACATCACATCTTCTCTCATCACCTCCATGCTTCAGGACTTGCCTTCAGGCAGGCCCAGAAAAGCAGCCCTGATCCCATTATGCAAATCTGCAATTAAGGAGACAGGCTTCCTCCCTGGAGAAGCATCACCAAACTTTGTGACAATGAAGGAATGAATGCTTTTCCTGGAAAGCGTGGCTCATGAGTCCTGCTCATAGAGACATGGCTGGTTCTGAGAGGACGACCAATGAGCAGAATATTCCATTACTGCTGGTGTCAGACTCAAGGAGCGTTTCCAGCTTCTTCAGCTGTGGCACTTCCTGTGCTCAGAGCCAGCTGACTGGCTGCTAGAACAACAAGCCTTAACTGCGGCTATATTAGGACGGTGTGACTTCCTTTGCCATTCTGGGACCCATCTTGGTTACCTCATGGCATGCTTCAGCTTGGGCTAAGGCTTAAGACTCCCTCCATCAGGATGGAATTAGAAACAAACGCTGACCCTCGAATCCCACAGTAAGAGTTTAAGATCTTCTGGGACATTGCCGAGAGAGCCCCCAGGGCCATATGGACAAGGAGGCAGGTTACATGTCACCTTTGTGATTCGAAAGAAGTGCCCGGCATGCCTGCTGCCCAGACTTGGGGAGGATTACATTTCATCAGGTGGCCAGCCTGCCAAGGCACAAATGTGGAAAGGGGACCCAGCCAAAGATGTCAGGCATCAATCACTGTCCTGGTTAAGCCCAGGGCAAGAGTGATCAATGAGCACACTGCTTGTGAAGAACCCACAGGCCTTGGTTTCTGAGTCATTCCTAAGGTCAGCTCTGAGGGGGAAATCTTTGCTCTTGGCCCTCCCAGAGCAGGCAGCAAAGAGGATATCCTGCAGGTGTGTCTCTCTTTAAGAAATCAGGACCTGTCTGTGTGAGAAAGATGAAACCAAGCCAGTTGCTGTGATAACCAGCTATGATAATCTACATAGTCCTTGGTTCTATACAAACTCCTTTTTCACCTCTAAGATCTTTGTTAGCCTCACAACAAACCCGTGCAGGTATATATTTACTGGCTCTATTTTACAGATGAGAAAACTGAGACACAAAGCAATGACATGAGCTACCCAGGGTCTCATGGCCAAGGTGAAAACCCAAATCTTTGACTTCCCCTTTGTGTTTTCAGCTTCTTCCTCCTCCCTTATTTGATCTGGGGAAAGGAGGTGAACAAAACAGCTTCACACCCATAGGGAGCTTATGTCTCATGGGGAGACATTGATGAAATGATCACAAAAATAATTGCATAGTTATGATCTAAGATAAATGTTATGGGTCTTTATCCTGAGGCCAGTGGGTAACCATCGGGTGGAAACAGCTCCTGTAATAAAATAGAAATGCTCCTGACGAGCAGGCAAGTGGCCTGACTGCTAGGCCCAGCTTTGCTGCCTTGCTGCCAGGTGACTTGCAGTAATTCCTGCTCCTTTCTGAGCCTCTATTTCCTCATCTTCCCAGTGAGGGGAGAGGGTTGGATTGTTGTTGTTTTTTCCCCCAGCTGTTATGTGTCATGTTTCTAGGACAGAACGAAAAGTAATGTCTGCAAACTTGCCACCATCACTATCTCAAATGTCACTTGCCCTGAGTTATTTTGGAGCTTGGTGGTCAAGATGTCTGAGGTTGCATCCTGCCTTGGGCTCTTGCTCCAAAGTGCAGGGTGGCCCCTGATTTAGAAATAAATGGGAAGGAAGTGGGTCATGCCATGCTCTCATAACAGGCTCCACCTTTCTCTCTCAGGGACAGAAGGGAGATGGTGGAGTTATGGGTCCACCAGGCAAGCCTGGGCCTTCTGGTCAACCTGGCCGTCAGGGTCCCCCAGGCCCTCCGGGTCCCCCATCCACAGGTAAGAGCTACACTGCTTCACTTGATCTACAGTGTCGCACTCCTGGCCAGCCTCCCGGAGAGAGCACAAGGAGATACCAGCAGAGGCCTGCCTGGTGTTTTGAGTTAGAAACTGCTAGAGAAACTTTAATCTATATAATAAAAGGCTAATATGCAAATCGACCGAATGGCGGAACGACCGGTTGCTATGACGCACACTGACCACCAGGGGGCAGACACTCAACCACAGGGGGGGCGCCGCTCAGCCAGAAGCTGGGCTCACGGCTGGCCAGCACAGGGGCAGTGGTGGGAGCCTCTCCCGCCTCCGCAGCAGTCAGGCATCCCCCGAGGGCTCCTGGACTGCAAGAGGGCACAGGCTGGGCTGAAGGACACCCCTCCATCCCACGAGTGCATGAATTTCGTGCGCCAGGCCTCTAGTATATTTATAATTTCTCCACAGTTGGGCTCATTCAACTTTTACACAAGGAAGATAAACATTGTTCTGGCTTTGTTTTTAGCATTTTGGAGAACAAATAGAGGAGAGAAAAAATTACATTGATGTCATTTATACATTAAGTGAAAAATAATGCACATATTTCATCAATAACACCTTTTACTAGAAAACCGTTTCATGATTCTAAGCAATTCTCTTAAACCTGGAAGTAAAGATAACATTCTAAAATTTTCCATCTTACACAGTGTTAAGAAAGAGTCCTTATGGATTTGCATAGAATATAGAAAGAAACGATAAAAAGAAATCAAAGTCATTTGCAAGGTAATAGGTACCCTGCTACCTTGTTTTACTTTGTTTAATATGATAAGCTAAGCCCTTGGTTTAGTTCATTCTCATCAGCTCAAAAGCACATTGTATAAGCACAGCATCTCTATTTCCAAGAAGACTGTTTACTCATTGAGCAACATTCTTTGTCCTGAGTTATACAAAAAGAATCAAAACAATTTTTGTTCCAATTTTTTCCTTAAGAAAATGAAGGCAAAATTTCACAGTGCACTCCCTTTCTCTCCCCCCTGTGCTTATGGAAATATATTTGCAACCACATCATGGGATGATCAAGAAATGTCATATTTTGTTAGATCCTTTAAACCAAATTAAAGCTAGTTCCGAAACTCCAATCTGCCAGAATGCCAGGAAAATTCAATCTTAGACTCCACTTCTCCAACTGCCACAAAAGAATTGGGTAAAGATCCTGGGAAATTATGGCAGAAATTTTTTTTGGGGGGGGGGGGGGGGGGGGTCCCTCCAGCCTTTTATCTGCCCTGTTTACCTGTAAAATGCCTGTTGTCTGAGGCCACAATGGTCCATGGGTGCCTGTGACTGCCATCTCATGCCATGCTTAGGCATTAGAACATCTCCAAGACTGGGAATCCTGGTCCCTATGGTTCACTTCCCACGGAGTGCTCACAGCCATTCCTTCTGAGACCTTATCTCTTCTCCAGGATACTGGGGAGGGGATACCTGTTCTCTCCAGGCCTGTGGGGATCCCTCCTCTTCCAATCTCTAGGCCCCTCTCTCCTCACACTTCATACACTACCCACCTCTTAGGAGCTTTTCTCTTCTGAGAACAGAAAGCAGAAGTTTTCAAATAGTACCAACAAGTTACCTTGTCACATCTACTTCTATTTGTTAAGGGAGCTGGATTTGAGATGCAGCCTAGGCCCTGTGTCCATCCCCATGATCTGTTTCCCTGCGTTGACTAGATGATCCAAATGGAGGTCCTTCCAACTCATCTTTCTTCTGCCTAACATTCCCCTCGAGCCCCATGACTATGAGCTGCCAGGGACTGAGAGCACGGCCTGAAGCCTGGGTTTTGCCTTTGGAAGAGACTCTCTTGGACCTTGGGGCATTTAGGGGCCACAAGGGAACATGAAGGGGCGGGGTGTGGGGAAGGGGTTGTGCGGATGCATAAGGAGGTCCTTAGCATAGTCAGACCTTAATATATGCATCCATTTGTAAAGGCCAGCCCTCATCTAAATTGAATTCCTTCCCTCCTTGGGCCTGGATTGGGTGAGAAGGGCAGGGCCTGGAGACCAGCAGCAGCTCACTCAGATGCCCACTCTTTGTCTTGTCAGTCTCTGGTGAATTACAACCTCATCCCTTTAGTAGGCCATTGTAGCCTTGTTTTCTCTCCTTGGTTTCCTAGCTCCTTCTCACTCAGCCGGGGATGCTCATGTCCCCTTTCCCTCCACCTCCCCATCCTCTTCCAGATCCTTCCAGCAGATGCCCTGCCCTCTGCAGAGCTGGAGCATATTTCTGCAGTCTGTCTGGGTCCCTGTGGCCTAAAATGACTTTCCTGTCATCTTCTGGGTCACCCAACAAAATCCTCTCATTCTTTCAAAGTCCTCTCTTCAGTAAGGCCTTCCTTGGTCCTTAATGGATGGGTCTCCTTTCCCTGCTGCCCCAGTCACACATTGCCTCCCTGCTATTGCCCCCGGTTCTCCAGTCACACATTGCCCCTCTGCTATTGCCCCCGGTTCCCCAGTCACACATTGCCTCCCTGCTACTGCCCTTGGTTCCCCAGTCACACATTGCCTCTCTGCTATTGCCCCCGGTTCCCCAGTCACACTGCCTCCCTGCTATTGCCCCTGGTTCCCCAGTCACACATTGCCTCTCTGCTATTGCCCCTGGCTCCCCAGTCACACATTGCCTCTCTGCTGTTGCCCTCCACTGGTAACTGTTTTTTGCAGATGTGTTTCACCTTTCTTCTAGGTGACAAGTCCTTGAGGCAGGATCTGTGGCTGAGTTGGCTTCACATCCCATGGCACCTGGCAAGTGGTATGGGTGGGGCTGGTCCCCACAGGTGCTCACTGGGCTACATTGGCTCTCAGTCTGTCCCACCTGGGTATTGCAGAGCAGGGTGCTGGCCATCTCTTTGGACTGATGTCCCCTTCTGTGCCTTCTTTTAAGTCACTTCCTTTCTGGGAGCTTCCCAGAGTGAGAGGAGAAATAATTCTTAGAGAGAAGAAAATGGGGCAATAATCCTGCTCTTTAGAAAAGTTTTTTGGGAGTGGGAGAGAAGGGAAGGGAGGAGTTTAATGGAGGCTTTCCCTGTGCCTGGGACCAGTTGGATAGTAATCAAGAGTTGAACCAGGCCCCCATAGTGATTCCTCAGACTACCTTTGAGGATCTGATAAAAATCCCAAACCCACTCTCAGGGGGGAAAAAAATGTGTCTTCCCCAAGATGCTTCACACTACTTCCCAGAGTCCCAGAACCCTTGCCTCAAATCCATCTGGGGATATCATCAGGCAGAATTCTTCTGGGCTAGTCCAACCCTCCCTTTAAAGATAAGAACTATGAGCCTGAGAGAAAAGTGTCTTCCCCAAGTTCACAGAGCTGACTGGTGGCCACATCTGATCCAGAATGTCCATGACTCCTGGGTCTGAGGCTTTCCCACTCATCCCTGCAGCCTCTGTAGGGCAGAGTGGGAGCTGGGGGAGATGTGGGGACTATTCTGTGGTTCCTCTGCCTTCTCCCAGATTCCGCTCAGACCTGTTCCCACCGCAGCAGCCAGTGGAGATGAGCAGTTCCCTGGGCAAAGGTGGAGAGCAGGTCCTCTGGCTGCAAGGATGCAGGGATGGAGGCCAAGCCAGGCCCCCTGGACCAGCTCCGAGAGGCTGAAGTGGGGAAATTTGGGTTGCTGTGCCCTTCAGTGTAGCCTGGCAGGACACAGGCAGCGAAACAGATGCCCTCTGACAGCTGGGAGGAGTCAGCAGGAAAACTGCAGTGGTGGCAGGAAGCAGGCTCCCTGCCACATCCTGTCATTTAAGGGGAAGGCTCCCTCTGGTTCTGGTGCCCAATGCTGTGAGATGAGATGGTGCTGCAGGAGGTGGAGACGGTGGGAGCTTTTTATTACCCAAGTTACAGAGCAAAAGAGGCACTGCGGGGTAGGGGAGGGAATGAAGGCAAAATGCCTTTAGGATGTAATTTGCAATAACCAAATTACAAATTTGGCTGAGTCCTTCCTGCACCAGACAGGGTATAAGTGAATCAGTGTGGTACCTGGGAATTGCCATCTATCTCCCTGCAAGCATCAGTGTTCCTGGATGTTTGTCTTTTGAACGGCATAGTGTTGTCAAACATGAATCAAATCTCCGCTTCAGCACGACTTAGCTGGATAATGGGACAAACTCCGGAATCTTTTGAGGCCATGGTTCTGAGGAGTTGTTGGGGCCATTCACATCCCTGGTTACATAGCATTCCCACCTTAGTTTGCCCAGGTGCTTAACTACCAGAATATTCCTGGGCTGGTGAGTCTCTGTTCTCTGGGCTCCGCTCCACAAGATTGGGGCTCCTCCCACAGGATCATGTTCCTATTTCTTGTTAGAACGAACAGCCATTACTTGGTATAAGATGTTGACAAGCCTCCCTTGTCCTTATACCGGCAGCATCTGGGCTGGATAGGCTGAGCCTGCTGGTGAAGGCTCAGGGTGTGGGGGTCTTCCCATCGAGGCCTCCTCCTCCAGCTGTGGCTGCTTCCCTGGGGTCCTGACCAGACCTTTCCCTGGGACCATTTTATTTCTTGTCCTTCTGGGATCTGCAAACTGTCTCCCCCGTTGCTGGCTGCCCTGATGTTTTATAACCTGAAACCAACGACTGGTTGGCATTCAGACTCCCCCCCTATTTTCCCAGGAGGAAGGGTCTTCATTTCATTTTTCAGTCTTTATCTTTTCCTCTCTTCCTGCTGATTGGATGGCTCTTGCTCCAGCACTTTTCTGCCAACTGGAATTGTGACATCTAGATTTTTCTGAAGACCTTTTCTTTCTAGTTAGTCTGCATTCATTCATTTATTCATTCACTCAGTCATCAGACATGTACCATGCCCCTACTGTGTGTCAAGCCCTGGTGAATGGAAATGGGCATCAGCCCTGCCCTTGTGGAACTTACAACCTATGGGGGTGGGGGGAAATCAGATAATCTCACAATATACAGAATCACAAACAGAGATAAATGTCTTGAAGAAAAGCATAGAGAACCATGAGATTGTATCCAAGGTTAACATGAAAGAATATGAGGATTCAAAAAGGCTTCCCTGGAGAAGTGCAGGGAATGGCACGTGAAAGACCGTTCCCTAGACCAGCGGTTCTCCACCGTGGTGCACAGTGGAATCATCCTGAGAGTTTTTAAAAGTACGGTTGCCTGGGTCTCATTCTCAGGAGCCCTGAAGGTCTGGGGTGCGGCCTGGGCATCAGAGCCTTTAGAAATGAAGGTGGGAGCTACTGCCCTAGCAGGTCTCCGACATTGTAGGGAATAAATTTCCTGATCACATCTTTTCAGGACACTCTTCTCAGTACCAGGGAGAGTACGTGGGCTGAGCATTTTTGAACTTCCATTTTCTTCCAGAAGAAATTTTAAAAATGCATACTCAGAAGTTCCTTTGTAAAGACCCTATATATAAAAACAATATAAAATGAATTTTTAAAAAAACAATAAATGTTTATTAGTGAGCAATTTATCTGCAAGGAGTCCCCTGTTGATAGTGGTCTAAGAAGACAGGATTGTTTTTTTCATACAATAAGAAAGTCAAGAGATGGACAGTGGCCCACTTTGGTTCAGCCTCTAAGGGTCAATACTATCAGGGCTCCAGACCCCATAAGCCCCTGGCTTGTCCCTTATGGTGGCTTCTCTCCTCATCCTTGTTACTTCATGTTAGCAGTATGGCTGCTGCAGCACCAGCCATCTTATCTGTCTTCTAGGCAGGAAGAAGTGGGAAGCTATGTCTTTCCCCAGCGATGATTCTCCCTTATCAGGACAGGCTTTCCCAGATGCCCACCCTTCTTCCACCACAGACCTTGCATTGACCAACACTGTGGCACATGGTCACCTCCAGGTGCAAGGGAGTCTGGGAAGTAGAAGGCCTATCTGTCTAGTCTCTAGCAGTGGTTCTCAACCTTCCTAATGCCGCGACCCTTTAATACAGTTCCTCATGTTGTGGTGACCCCCAATTTCATTGTTACAAATTGAACATAATTAAAGCATAGTGATTAATCACAAAAACAGTATGTAATTATATGTGTTTTCCGATGGTCTTAGGCGACCCCTGTGAAAGGTTCGCGACCCACAGGTTGAGAACCTCTGCAAAGTATAAAGAGAGGGAAGGGAGAATAAGGGTGGAGAAGGGTGTTACCACACCCAGCGTGGTTAAGGAATCCTGTCCCAGAGAACATCACCTCCTCCACATCGTGGATCAAAAGCATCTCTTTGAACCTCTGCCCTGAAATACTGTGGACTTCAGCCTTCTTTCTGTTGTGAAGGTTGCTCACATCAGCCTGGGCTGTTTAGTTTTCTCTTCCTTGGCTCTAGTAACACAGTTGTCTGTTGCTCCCTAGGACAACTTATAATGGGACCCAAAGGCGAAAGAGGATTTCCAGGGCCTCCAGGAAGATGTCTTTGTGGAACCCCCGTGAATGTGAATAACCCTTCTTATGGGGAATCCATGTATGGGCCCAGCTCCCCGAGAGTCCCTGCGGTAAGGTTCTTGTGGGAGAAATCTGGGGTGTTACCCAGCAGGACCTCTCATCGGGTCCTCGGGACTTTGTAATAATAAAACTTATTTTTTATGTATGTATGTATTTGTTTAGCAAAACTTATACTGGGTACACACTCATAAGAAATTGGAACATAAGGAAAAATCAAAAGAAAACTATTTTGTTGTGAGTCCATTTTGATGTATTTTCTTTGTCTTTTTTAAACAAAAAATTACAGAAAATTTCAAAGAAATACAAAAGCAAAACAAGTAGTGTAATAAAACTCCATGTGCCCTTTACCCAAATTCAGTATTTATCAACTCATGGCCAATCTTGCTTCCTCTTTATGCCAGCCCACTAATGCCCACCCTTCCTTGGTTTATTTTGTAGTAAAGGCTGGACACCAGTTCATCATAAACATCATTTGAATTGATGCATAATCACCCGTCCACCATGCAGTTGTGCTGTGATTTATTTAACCAGTGTCCTATTGTCAGTGTTTATGGGGTATGCCCAAGCTTTTCACGAACGTACATAACACTGTAATGAACACCTTTGCGAATTTTGTTAAGACTCATTTGTAAATGTTGAATTACTTGCTTAGATGACCTCACCTTCCTATTTAAGTCTTGGGCACATTTTAAATGTTTTTAAAAATTTGGATATTTTTACTTCAAATGGAGACATTAGGAACTGGATTGAAAAGCTATGGGAATCAGGAGGAACGCTAGAGGGTAACATGCAAACGCCCTTCCCACTGATAACCAGTCCAAGGACAGCGACGTGTCCTCCTTCAGCCCTCCCCTGCCCCCACTGGAAGTGTTTTCTCGAAGCCTCACCAGTGTGTCCTCTGGCAGATTTTCGTGGTCAACAACCAGGAGGAGCTTGAGAGGCTGAACACCAAACATGCCATCGCCTTCCGCAAAGACCAGAGATCCCTGTACTTCAAGGACAGCCTTGGCTGGCTCCCCATCCAGGTACCCAAGGCAGGCGCTGGGGACACCCCCCACCAGGAAAGGCACATACCTTTCAAGGTAGAGAAGGCCAACAGGGAGGCTGGTGCAGAGTTCTGTTTCCATGGAAGGGCTGCGCATCCTCCCTCGCTGTCTTTGAGCAGCTCTTTATGTCCCGGCTCCCCAAATAGAACCTTTTCTTCTGAGCCAAGGTTCCCAACAGTCTCACGTTCCTGTACTGCAAGGGCACTGAGTTGATCAGGCCCAGCCTTCCTGCCCCTACAGAGCTCTGGGAGACAAAAAAGCAGTGCCTTTCCCACCCAGGAGTGGGGGGCGCTCCTCGGCAGAGCCCCTGGGCCCAGAGCTTCTGTCCCCAGTGCCAATGGCCTGCCCTGCCTGGCGCACTGTCCTTGGTAACTTGGTGTGTTTCTTTGGCCAGCTGACCCCCTTCTATCCTGTGGACTACTCTGTAGACCACCGCGGCTCCTGTGGGGACGGGGTCCTGCAGCCCGGGGAGGAGTGTGACGACGGGAACGACGATGTGGGTGACGACTGCATCAGTGAGTGGGGCCCTGCCATCAGGGTGGGGGTCAGGGCAAGCCCTGGACACCTGTGGTGGTTTGGGATCATTTTAGAGCCTGCGGGATGTACCTGAGCTGTTGTGGGGATGATCTGCCTCTGAGGCCAAATGTTAACTCCTTCATTATCCAGGCAGGTCACTGGGGGTTGGGGTCAAGGCCCTTGCCCCCAGAGAAGCCACCAGGGCCTGCTTTTTTTCTGAATCCTACTTCTTGGCAAAATCCAAATTCCAGTCCATGTTCTTTGTCAAAAGATCAGGGTGAAAAACAAACAAAAAAGAGAGAAGAAACCACAAGCAAGATAAGGGTGATGAAGAGTGAAAGGAAAAAGGGCGAAGCCAAGAATTTAAATCCGGACTCATTTTTACCAGATGGAGCCCTAGTAGCAAAGCCCTTTTTAGTGAGTGGGCCCAGCCCAGGCTGTCCTGCCCCTGCCCCTTCTCAGGGCTGCACTTGCTTGTGTCCTCTCAGGCTGTCACCGGGCCTACTGTGGAGATGGCCACCGGCACAAGGGCGTGGAAGACTGTGACGGCTCTGACTTTGGCCACCTGACGTGTGAGACCTATCTCCCTGGGTAGGGATGCCCTCACATGCTGTTCTGGCACCCCCTCCCCCTCCTCCACCCTCCCTCCTCCTTTCTCTCTTTCCTTCACAAATAACTTTGAGTGCATCTTATGTTCCTGGTATTTTCTGGACACTGAGGTATAGTAACAACACAGTACAGGATTCCTGCTCATCCGGGGGAGACAGGCAATAGACCCACAGCCACCGGGTGTCCTCTAAGAGCAGCCAAGGCCAGGGTGGAACAGACACAGCCACCAGCTCCATCTGGGCTCCGGTGTCAGCAGTCTCCAAGCTCAGCTGTTACCCCTACGTGAGCAACTCCATCCCCAGTGGCCGCCATGACCACATTAGTCTTTGGGGCTACGAGCCTGGGAGGGAGCCCAGTGGAGGGCGGAGGTATCAGGGCATCTAAGCATCTGTGTAACAAGCTTCCACCAGGCCTGTGGGTGCAGGGGAGACCACACCAGCATCTAACTTTGCTCACTCGTGGCTCCTTCAAGAAAACCCCAGGAACTTAGTATTGCTTTCAAGGACCCCTTTAATTATTTCTGAGCCTCTTCAATGGGGTTTGTGTTGCTCAGGGTGAGTATTCTAGTGTTGTGACCTCTGCGTTGACATCCCCAGGCCAGCTGAAGGCTCTGGCCCTGTGAGGTACTGACTCCGTGCCCAGAACGTGGCAGCCTGAGCTCCTTTCAAGGTGTGATATGGTGCTACGTTCCCCGGTCCTCATAGAACCAGAGTTGTCTAACTCTCTAGGGAAAACAGGGAGGCTCCTCCCTTAGCTCCAGGGGATACCTGGCCTGTCAACCCTCTTAGTCCCTCAGGAGCCCAGTCTCTTCCAGCCCTGTTCCTCTGAAAGGCGTGGACCAGGCTCTCGCCAGAGCTGGGGAGCCAACACCAGGCCGCTCTCTCCATTGCCCCCTCTCTCCTCTTTTCAAGGGCATCTTTTCGATGCCCACACCCAAACCTGTATCAGCATATCAG